TTCTCCTAATTTCGCTTCTTTTCTTCGTAATTAAAATAAAAGGGAATTCATGATTTTTGGAATTTTAATTAAAAAATTACAAAAAATTTCATATCTCCTTTTCTAGCCATTAAAATTTTTCAAAAAATGTCTCAAAACGTTCTCCTTGACGAGAGGTCGAACTTTACTCCCGGTGCGCCTATCAGGAGATATCAAGGAAAAACCATTTAGAAATTTTAATCCATTATTTTTGAGATTTTTAATTAGAAAAATATAAAAAATTCCATATCTTTTTTTCTAGCCGTTAGAAGTTTTCATAAAACGTCTCAAAACGTTTGCCTCGACGAGAGGGCGAACTTTGCTCCCTGCGCGGCTCGCTCGAAAACGCGCGGATCGGGAGATATAGAAAAAAAACTAAATAAAATGATTATAAAAAATAAAACTAATCAAGAAAACAAGCTTATCAGTGTTCGACTAATCAGCCCATGTTCCCCCGTTGGTTGGGGAAGGCCGCGGCCTTAGGGGTGCTGCTCCCCTCCCCGGCAACGGCGCCAATTGTTGTGAGGAAACTCGGGGAGGGGCGCCTGCTGTTCGTTGAAGCCAAGGGCAACAGCGTCTGTCACTCGCTGCGCCCGCTTCCGAGGTCCTCAGCGATCAGTAGGGGATAGAGTTCCGACTGTTTCCCAAGCGTCCGCTATAGCGGGTTTAAGAATTCTCCTTTTCACCTCGTCAAACAACCATTACTAAGCTAGAACCAAACGAACAGGGATGCTTCGTAAAGTTGATATAGGCTTGTACTTAGGAGTTTGCTCGAGCGAAGGGCAATTTGACAAAATGAAATACACGGAAGCGCGACAGTGAGTAAGAGTTAATAATAATTCAGCACAATCAACACCTCTTTGAATGCACTGTATGAGTGTCCGCCAATAGACAGAGAATACCTGATTACCTTATGAAAAGTCGATCTGCCAATGATAATTCTTGATCTGCCCTTTAACAGAGACTGCTTGACCAGTCAATGGGCGGAGAGTATTCGACTTGTGAATGTCTGTTTGATCAGCCAATAGGCAGGCAGTGATTGACCTGCTAATGCGAAGTGGCTGATCTCTTTTTTTTTTTATGCAAGAGCGCAAGGCCTCAATTGGTTCTCATGTGAAAATGGCTCCAACCTGAGATCTGAGCCGCTGACCCCCTTTTTTTTTTACACTTGGTTGAGGGAAGCCAGGGGAGGCCCCCCCATACCA